TGAAGATGTCCCAACAAAGGCTTTTGTACAAAGTAATAAATACATTTCAGTAAGTGTGTTCAATACTTTTCCCCTGGGTCATTCCATTTTATTAGACAGAACTTAATTTCTGAACTTATTTGTTTTGTTTTCTTTCTATGTATGGATTACTTGGATTGTTACCGACATCTGGTGAAAATTTCATGTCAACAGCACCTTTAGAAATATATTTACTGAGAAAAATGGTGACGTGTCCAATGCTTATTTTACCCGCTGTATATGTATGTGTACTGTGTATATTTATTATGCATATATAAATACACACAAATACAGTGCAGTATATATTTTGGAAAAATGTACATGCATATATATTTATATTCTTGTATTTTATATTATATATAAATAAATTTAATATATAAACAACATATTTTTCTTAACTATACATGCATATGTTTGTATTTATATATACATAATAAATATACACAGTATATTTATATGTATTAGAGTAAAGAGTAAAATAGGCATTCGCCTAGCTACTTATATGCTTAATTAATGAGCTCTCAGCAGTTCAGTCTTGTGCAGTAGTGCAGCAGCTTGCATAGGCATTCAGTCATCAAGATTTTTCTCAGCAGCAGCATGCACAGCATTTCTATGTTGCAAATTTTAATTTGGACACAATTAATACAAAAGCAGACAACTGCATTTAAATAAAGTCACTGTAGTGTCTTTCTCAAGACCGTCTTGGAACGAGCCATGCATTTAGCAATGATGTGTTCATACAATGCAAACATTATTGTTCTTAATATGCAATATAAATATTTTAAATGCTCAAAATAAATGAGCAGCTGCTTTTGAGGCAGAATTAATCCTGGGCATATGACACCACAACTACAGGGTGTACAGTGATTTATTCTTTTGCCAAATATTTTGTTAGCTTATTAATAAGTTAAAGGTAAGTATTTACACTGCAGTAACGTTAATGAACGTTAATGAAAAAAAAAAAAATTTACAACTCTTGAATGCTTCCTCTGATGCAGGACTGAGATACGTCACTTCCTGTTTGTTACTGCCGTGTGTTTTGAGTTTGAGCTCCGTCAAGTTAATTCTTTATCGTCTATTTTTTATCTTAAAATCAATTTTATACA